GGCCTGTTTACATGGAGGTAGGGTGACCCTAGCAGAAGGGTTACCCTAGCAAGCGGGTTACCCTACTGCAATATGTTTTATAGGAAGCGTTTACATGCACGCTAGGGTTACCCTAGGGGTAGGGTTACCCTATCAAACAGATAGGGTGACCCTAGCAGCAGGGCTATCTTTTTGTTTACATAAGCCATGTAAACGCGTCAGGTAGGGTTACCCTAGCAAGCGGGTCATGTTTTATACGTCCTACTGTGACAGACAAACAAGGATATGGCGTCGCTAGATTATACATATGAACCCTGATATGAACATATCAGCCTGGCGAGCATTTTAAACGACACCAGAAAATAAAAAGGATAAGCAATTTACAAATAAGGAAGCAGAGGCATAGAACGAAGCTTTGACTTTGGACGAGAACGCTGCGAATGATGTAGTTTCGATAACAAATTGTCAAAGACGGCGAAAAGGAAGCAAAATTCCGGCGCATCCTCATCGACGTCAAAAAAACAAAATAAATGCTCTTGGTCAGCCGAACATGTCGAAAAACTGTTGTGTTGGACTATATCAAGGAATACATTACGCTTATTTACGCAATGCGAGTAATAGACCACAACATTGAAATAATAGACCACAACATTGAAATAACAGACCACGATATTGAAATAACCTCGGAAATAACAGACCACAACATTGAAATACAGCAAGCAAAGGCCCAATAAATAGCAGAACACAACTTGCCGCTAAAACTTTGCGTTTCGGCGCCATTTATCTAATACAGACCGCTTAGCGACCACGCATAGGTAGGGTTACCCTATCCAGCAACATAGCCCTAGCAGTAGGGTCACCCTACCTCATGTAAACGCTCGCTATTTTCTGACCCGCTTGCTAGGGTAACCCTCCTGATAGGGTCACCCTACCTCCATGTAAACAGGCCCTTAGTGATGCTAAATCAAGCATATGGCAAAGAATCTTGAATGATCGATTTTAAAATTTCACTGTGAAATTTAGCTTACAGTGAATAGCTAGATGTCATGATGATAATTAAGAGCAGCTATGTTTAAAAGCCGGGGAACGGGGAATCGAGGAATTGGAATTCCGGGTTATGCTGATCTCGCCCTTGACTTTGCCCGATTCATTGACACATCGCAAACTGCTGAAACCAACTGAAACCTTGTTAACATGAATCACTTTTTTGTAAATCCAAATAAAATTAAACCTCAACGGCTTAAGTTTCAATGACGAATTTCTTTTAGCGGTCTTAAAGCTTATCTTGAACAATTAATTATATTTGTATGAAATGGCGACTGGAAGCGAACAATGTTTATACTTTTATGAAACACTACACCGAACAAAATGAATTTTCGTTAACCAGCCAAATCTTCCAGTTTATCAAGATTTCAGCATGAGTTGTTATGTCTTTAATTATTATTAAAAGGGGGGACGGGGAATTGAGGATATTAATAGTGGGAAATGGGAATCGGGGAATTTTTAAAAGGGAATTTTTATAAGGGGTAATCTTTAAAAGGTGGTTCTTTAAAAGGGAAAATCTAGCTTTACGTGCGTGGTGCCTTTTAGATTTTTGACTTCAGAATCTTTTTCGCACATTAATTTACGATAGGCCTATATTATTATTCGTGTACTAGTTCTCACAGAAACGCACACTGCTATGCCTATGAGTATAATATTTAGCATGTATCAGTCTAGGGCTATCTTTAAAAAGGGGAACGGGAAATTGGAGAATTGGGAAATCGGGAAATCTTTAAAAGGGGGAATATTTAAACGGGGAAATCTAGCTTTAAAGTGCGTGGTGAAGTTAGATTCTGGACTTCAGAATCTTTTTTGTACATTAATTTACTATTATAGTATTATGATTTGTGTAATTGTTTTCATAAAAAACGCACACTGCTATGAGTATAGTATTTAACATGTATCAGTCTGAGGATATCCTTAAAAGGGGGAACGGGGAATTGGGAAATCGGAGAATTGGGGAATCGGCGAATTGGGGAATTGGGCAATCGAGGAATCGGGAATCTTTAAAAGGGGAAATCTTTACATGTAAAAGGGAGAATCTTTAAAATGGGGAATTAAGCTTTACGTGCGTGGTGTTAGCTAGATTTTTTACTTGAGAATCGTTTGCGTACATTAATTTACCGTATATTATGATTTGTGTAATTGTTTTCATAAAAACGCACATTGCTACGCCTGAGTAATTAACATATATCAGTCTACCTTGCCTAGCCGAGTAATTGCAATTGCTAGTTTCATAGCCGGCAAGTAGAAGTGATCAATAGAACGCTGTTCGCTGTAGGTAATAAATATACTATTGTTTCCGTATCTTCACTGAACTTTTAACAATATGGCTAACGTTATTAAGTTTTCAAACCTCAACTCAAGTGCATTTTTTCGAAATTTCAGTCGAAATTTCAGTCGAATTTTGAGTTAACGAGCCATTGGTAATTCCTATATGTAGGGCTAGCCCTCTTGTTGCTCAGCAAGCGTGGCCCTGGGGACGAGGAAGGGGCTAACCCTCCCTGTAATGCTGGTTTTCACACAACACTTAACTATTGCAATAGGATGACAAGTCTATTCTAGTAAAAGTCGAGATATTGACGTGTTTAAAAATCCTTAAAACACTGAGAACTTCAGCCAGTACGAAACCAAAAATTTCTAACCTTTAAAATGAAGTAAAATAGGTATATCGCAAATCAAAATACCAGTGGCGGATCTGAAAATACGATAACGCTCTATGTGACTGTGTCTCCCACTGAATTAAATTGCCAATTGACAAAAAGTGATTTTTAAGACCTTTACATATTTCTCCAAGTGCCTCCACAATTTTTTCACTGGGGCATGCCCCGCGGACCCACCTAGAGTTGTGACTCACAAGTATTAAATTACTCTCCCTCCCAAAGAAAAAGAGAAAATATTAAGAATACCTTGACCTTACATTATCAACTCGCTTAGAATTCAAATTTTAAAAAAGTTGCTGAAAAATAATACACGTTCATTCAGACCTTACGCGACCAGCATACCTGCTTGTAGTTCTAAAGTACCGCCATTAAATTCGTTCCAATCTTTAGACTGTACAGATACCCCGTACGCCTCTAAGGTGGTTATCATATCCCTTACATCAGTAATGTCAGGCACGTTCGTTAAAGTGACTTTTTCCTTCGTCAGTAAACTCGCTGCCATTTGTGGCAGAACGGCATTTTTTGCTCCAGAAATCTTGATTCTGCCTTGGAGTTTAGGTTTTCCCGCTACGATAAGTTCAGACATTTTTGAGACTATATATTTTTTAATCAGTTTGAAACAATTTTTGTTCTACTCGACTCGTAGATACGCTATGAAGGGACCTAACAATTCGACTCGCTTTTATAAACAGGAAAAAATGGTAGGGAATTTTTTCGAATTGCAGGGAATTTTTTCGATTAGTTTTTTTGTAGAGTGACTCATGAAAAAAATTTGTGCAATGCTTGGCAATAATCGGCAGTAGTTTAGCCGCAGGAGAGCGCAACTATGATGTAAGAATAATATATTATATTTTGATTTGGAAAATTTGAAATGTGATTATGTGAAGCATGTATAACACGTTTTAAGCCCTAGTTTCAAATGTAAAGGCGCACATTTTATCAATATACTTAATGATATAGGTTTTTAACATTTAACCTTCTAAAGTGTCATATTTTTCAAATTTTAATGCTAGGATGCATGCCGTGCTCCAAAACATTTATATTTTTAAAACATATGCAAATTCAGGGTCTTTCCCTGGGCCGGCTGTGGAAAAAATATACGGGAGTACTGACAGTATTGCATGTCAGTGATTTATACACGTAAATGGGTCATCCGTTGTAATAAAGAAGACAAGACTATCAGCTATAATCAGCGACAATGAATCGGGTAGGACACTTTGAAAGTGTCTAACCTCAATTTCAATAGTAGCGGTTTATGTCGGCTGAGCAACGACTAGCCTGAAAACAGACCTACGTTACGCCCGCCCTAAAATTCGCGGGTCGACGGAAAGGGCGAAACGTAGCTCTGTTTTCAGACTAAGCAACGACACAATGGAAGACAAAGCCACTTTAGATAAAATGTAAATTTAGTTACACATATTGAACATGCCAACATGGGGGAAGAGGGTTTATGTTCAGTGGCGTAACGTTATATCAGGGGGCCCCCGGTTCAACATTTTCGAAGGCCCCCCCTAGTAGAAGAGGCACGAGTCGAGCGCCATATATGCAGAAGTTTTCTAGGGGGTCCAGAGCATGCTCAGCCGGAAAATTTTTGAATCTAGACTCTCTGAAATGCCATTTCCTGGACTTTGGGGAGAGATTTTACGGAATTCTGATGGTCATAAAACGACATTGTAACATATCAGAGACCCTGACCAATGTTTTTGCTCTATCGCCTAAGCCTGGGGGCCCCCATTTAGGTTGGGGGCCCCCGGGTTCTCCCGGTCTGAGCCCATAGTAGTTACGCCACTGTTTATGTTACTCTTTCAGCCTAACTGGTCCACGAATTTTGTCACTGATTTTACACGATTATATCGACAATTGTACGTTGCAGAAACAAATCGTGCCTGATATTTCCCTGCCATGCAGTTTGTCTAATACCACGCTACACTGCAACTGAAACGTATTGGTTGAAATAACCAATTTGAATTGGTTGTCTCATAGAGCATTTTCTTTTAACCAATATTATTTGGTCAAAACAACCGAGAAATTGATGAAAAGAACCCATTTTTTGGTTGTTTCAACCAAACAAATATTGGTCAAATAAGTGCATCTGAGACGACCAATTCAAATTGGTTATTTTAACCAAATCCTCTACGGTTTCTAATTTTTTTATCGTTCTGTGGTCTCTAGATGGCTATCAATTGTATTCTTAATGTTCGGCAAGGTTTGGAAGGCTGTTGAACGGCAGTTTTTTTGGAACATTTGCCCCCTATACACCCCTTCCGCCAAGCTGTTCTGCTGCAAGCCAATTCCTTTCCCCTGGCCTCGCAACTGGGCAAATGGGAATGCTCTAACCTTTGGTGAACCCATCATTCAACACTGGACTGAGAACGATCGAGTCAGATGTGATGAATAATGAAGATTTTAATGCTTGAAAACTACAACAACGTTTACATTAAAGATAGACTGAAAACGATAAAAGTGCTAAGATCTAAATTAATGCCTCCGACTAATAGCAGACAACAAAGAACAAGTTTAATAATAGGCAGATCATTGAAAGTTAGAAAGGCCTTCGTGATAAAATTGCTAAGCTAAATGTGACAAATGTCTTAAATGAAACTGATTAACAAATAACAAAAGTTAGAAATAGAAGTGTAAACAATTATTAATTAAGTGTAACAATTAACGAAAGTTAGAAATGGCCTGGTCCACCATGAAAACCAGGACGGGTTTCTTTAAGGATCTTCAAATTGGCACCACATTTATTCAATTTTCCCACCATGTCTTGATAACCACGCTGGATTAATTCAAATTTTCGTACCACTGTTGAGCCTTGGGCAACCAGACCAGCAAGGACTAAGGCCGCTCCGCCCCGGAGATCTGTAGCCTCAACACGAGTCCCGTTCAGCTTTGAACCTGTCATAAATAACATGCATTATTTTAAACTTAAGCTTGTAGGACTTATATAGTTGTAACTAATCCATATTACTTTAGTACTTTGGCCAGGAAGCACTAGGCAGTAAGTTTTCACCCATAGCTAGGTTTGCTTTTGTATTTCTTTGTCAGTAAGATAAGTCCATACTGTACGCTTGTCATTAGCCTGCGAGCAGGCTAGTTTGTCATGGGTAAGCATATCAAATTTTGGTTGAATTTGATGTTTTTTCCAGGATTTGTACCTCGAGTTCAAAACGTAAAGCCGAAGATGGAGCTACTTGACGTCAGTTTTAGACAGTCTCTTTCTATTGTTTTACTAGTGTACCGAAATTTCGTATTTTGACTACGATTTAAGGAGTAATATAACGGTTTTATGAACTGATAATTTGAATACTTGATTAGCAATTAGAAAAAAAATGGAATAGCTGGGGGGGGGGGGTTGTATTAAACCTGTTTACAACATTCATATGTATTGGACAGCAATTCCACAATTTTGGCTTCGCTTTTCTTATAGGCCGAATGACTGAAGTTCTTGCTTCAAATATATATATATATATAGAGAGCTTACTATATGTAAAACGGGCTTAGAATCTCCATGATTCAATTTCATCACAAAATCTGACAGGGGTAATTAATATCTCCTTTGCCCCTCACATATTCTAGTACTATTATTACTGTAATAATCTTTATTGTACCTGCTTTCACTCCATACTCCCTTTCATTGACTTTCTCAATTACGGCTCCCATTTTCTTCAAACCATCCACATAGTTGAAACGACCATCATAGATTTTATCATGTATGATTGCGTACTCTTTTGTCATTGTGGCTTGTGCTTGGGTCATGAATGCCACCCATTGTGGTAGAAGGTCAGTGGGAAAACCAGGATAAGGACCTGTTTTGATATCAACCGGTGTAATGGTGCCATTCTTTAGTGAGATTACAATTAGGCCATATTGGCTGTAGCGATCTATTTTAACTCCAGCGGCATCAAGCGGCTGGCATATCGCCTTCAACATGTCTTCTTTCATGTCTTCTGGAACTTCAAATTCAACTTTACCTAAATTCGTACGTTGAAATTAATAGTTTGAAAGGCTGTTGGAGAATGCGATAATTTATAGGAAAGGGCGCTAAAAAGGACGTATAGTGCGCTCAAATATTGCGGTTTTGGTTGCCCAGTAACAGCATGTGTCTTTCACGTCATTCGTAATTAATTACTTTTGAAGGGGGTAATTTGTAATTTATAATAATTACCTTTTTTGAGAAGTAATTTAAATTGTTACTCTATTTTTTGGTAATTTTTACCACACTGTCGAGTACTCCAAGTTCTTCATGTACTAACACGGGACTAACTAAGGATGACCCTTCCCAGGGACGCCGGAGGGGCAGCCGCCCCCGTTGCCCTTTACCTGGAGGAGCAGGGGGCAAAGGTGCCCTTTCAATTTAAAGGATTGCCTTGGCGGAATAACGAATTGTCAGAAATGTTAGTGCATGTGATTCTTTTACGAATTTGCTTCAGAAAACGCAAGAAATGCAGTCATCGAGCTTCAAGAATAGCATAATCGCCTGGCGGAGAACCCCCTCGCACCCCTATCATCCAATAAATAGAAAACATGATTAGGCGAAGTTCAACTCCCGATATTTTGCAGCATCTCTTAGTCAGATATCAATTCAAAAGTGCCCTTTCACGAAAATCTGCCCCCCTTGCCTTTACATCGTTCCGGCGTCCCTGACCCTTCCTGGACTTTGTATGAGATTTGTTTAAAACTGATAAAGGTGTTTCTTTAAAGCCATAACATGGTACCTACCATTGGTCATAGCTGCAGCAATGGCGTAAGTACCAAATTCAATCCTATCAGGCATGACCTGATGAGTGACACCTTCAAGAGACTTGCATCCACGGACTCTAATCACATTCCATTTCGCTATCTTTTCTGTTATTCCAAACGGAGTAATTTTTTCCGAGATTAACACATCTTTTTCAATGGTGATTTGTGCACCCATCTCTGCCAGCATCTTAACCAAGTCACATATTTCTGGTTCAATCGCCGCATTTCGGATCACCGTTTCACCTTAAGAAGTAATAGTTATGCTTTTTTAGTTCTAGCTTATCAGTTCGTGCTGAAACATGCATGTCGGACAGTCAGGTGGATAACATATCGTGGTTGGTCACCTCACCTAGTTAATTAATTAATTAGTTAATTAATTAATTTGTTAATTAGAAGTGCTATAATTAGGTATTGTTAGTTAAATTAGTCGGTTATTTCTTTGAGTGTTTGAGTACTTCACAAGTCAATTATAGTCATTTGCTGTGTTAGCAATATTTGATAGTCAATTCATTGATCACTTAGGCAGGTATATAGTATACCTCAGGCAATACATTAGTTTGCTTTATATAAGATCGATAATTTGTTATTTGGTTGCAATGAGTATACATAGTAAGTATTTTAATTACTAAAGTGGTTGCCTATTTGGTTTATAGACCTTAACGGCTAACACGTTTTCAATATATCAACCAATTCACTTCTTTGTCTGTTTTCTACTACCACTTCTAAACTATACCTTTCACTAGGCTTGCAGCCATTATGGCAGTTTCCGTCGCACCAACAGAACTGTTCTTAAACGTGATTGTTGCAGGTTTTAGACCAGAGTCTGCCCTCATAGAGACGACTTCAGCACTCTCTTTAATCAATTCGGCTCCCATATCCTTCATCGCTTGTATATGATAGTCAACTGGTCTGCCTTTCTTCCCAATTTTACAACCCCCTGGCTTGTACACTTCAACCCTGCGTGTTCTGGCCAACAGGGGACCAAAAACTAAAAATGCAGCACGAATCTCGGCTCCTGCATTGGTTCCTGGTAGTGAAGATGTTGGGCTCCCTACATGTGAAGAAAAACCAATTTAGTTAATAAATGTCACGAATGTACGACTTTGGTATAGAAAGCATGGTTTGTTCACATAACTATTGCAATAGAGTCCAAGTCACAAGTCATTCACTCCAAGAGTAGCAATTCAAGTCGCAAATTCTTCTTTTTACCATGAATGGGGGAGATATGCCAATCTGGCTAAGTTGTAGATAATTTTCACTAGATATTTACACGACTGTACGTTTAAGTCAAGTCACAAGTCGTTAATCTGTTTAACAAGTCAAGTCAATCCCGAAAATCCATTACAAAATCCTAAGAATTGGAATTAATCGCTTCATTATCAACGTCTCGCTTTTAAATATACAGTATAGTTCGAATCTAAATCTTAACTGAAAATCTCCGCGTACATGTATAATGGCCTAAAAAATATTTGAAAAATCTTGCCCTCTTTCGCATGAACTTAACACGTTCGACATACCTGCTTGTAGTACTAAAGTACTATTAGGTTTGTCCCATTTCACTGTTACCCCGTACGCCTCTAAGGTCGATTTCATATCCCTAACATCAGTAATGTCAGGCACGTTTGTTAGAGTGACTTTTTCCCTCGTCAGTAAACTCGCTGCCATTTGTGGCAGAACGGCATTTTTTGCTCCAGAAATCTTGATCCTGCCTTGGAGTTTACGTCCTCCCGTTACCATAAGTTCAGGCATTTTTGAGACTATATATTTTTCAATCAATTTGAAGCAATTTTTAAACTCTGAACACTCGTTGATAAATTGCTGCGATATGAAGGGACCTAACAATTTCACTCGCTTTTATAGGCAAAAAATAGGAGAGGGGGATTTATTTTTGGCAGAAAATGTAATCGAAGGGAAAATATTTTACTGTGTCTGTGACTCATTCCAAAAAAAAAATGCAAGGCTTGCAGTTAATTATGCAGTTTCGCAGCAAGCGCTTTCACGTCCGGTATGATGTAAGGAATAATTTGAGTTGGGAAAACCCCGCCGAATCCAGATTTGCATATGTTACGGTATGCACCCTCGCATGAAATTTCAGAATATAAACACTTTTTGAAGGCTAGAATATTGAAAACCTTTATCATTTGAAATATTAATAAAATATACACCTTTTCAGTTTTCACTTAAAACTATCATATAATAGTTCTATTGCAGAAGAAATTACATCAAACCATTTTAATATAAAATTATGATTTATGGCCATAAATCGTGAACAACTCGTGTATGAACAGATAATTTGCTATAAGTCGCAGTTTATTTAGGCCTAGCTTTTAACCCTGGGTTTATTGAACGAATTGACCTAGCCTCCGTCGCAGCGTAGCTGTAAACGAATTGATCTAGTTTAGCCATCGCCACAGCGTAGCCGCCGTCTCTTGATTCATTAGGGAACTTTAGATTCGCTACGGCTACAAAATCTGATACGACTACGAGATTTTTCGTTAAATATCTGCTATTACAGACTTTCTATCGTCCTTTCCTTTGCATACCACATCTTTATAGCAACAGTTGCGCCAAACCACGTACTATTATAAGTTTTTAGTAGCTTGGTATTTAATGGAAAAAATCTCGTAGTCGTACTGACTAGATTTCGTAGCCGTAGCCGGCGAATCTAAAGTTCACTACTTATACTGATGCCTGCGGAGGAAGCTAGAAGTGACCGTCTAGAATTGACTTTAAAGCCACGACCTAGAATAAACGCTCAATTCTAGCCTCCTCCGCAGCCATTAGTAAGTGATCCAAGAGATGCTATTTCGGCTCGTATAAAACTTTACTTTAACAAAAATAAAATGATATTATTTATTGGAAATTTTAATACAACGTAACATATCCACTCTTTAATACGGATACACTGTCGTGATTTATACTAGACTTACATGCATGTAAGCCGCGAAGATGCATCAAACTTGCCCAAATTAAACGTCTGACAGAATATCAATCTTAATAGCTTAAACACAACACCGACAAACCAGCAATGATAATAAGGCTTTCTATACCGGCAATTGTTTGGCAACAAATCGTACGTGTATTTTCCTGACGGTTTGCCTTATTCCCTATTTATACTTCAATAATTTATACACCTAAATGGGTATCTGGATGAAGTAGCTAGAATAGCGCGATTATTGGCAGTTATTATTCAGCGTTGTTGGAACAACTCGTGCCTCCTTAATACAAATGAGGTCATCCTTTTCTAATATAGGGGAAACCCCGTGGACATGTGGACACGTTGGGGCTTGTTTTAGACCGGAAGGTCAAAGTACTCGATGATCTAGAAGCGTACTATAACTTACAGCCAATTTTTCGTAGATTCGAACTAAATTTTGGTATAATTTAGCAATATCCAACGTTTAATAACTTGTTATTTCGTCTTTGGATGCTAAATTAAGCATGGCAAAGAATCTTGTATGACCGATTTTAAAATTTCAAGATAAGCTTTAAAGGCCCTGTCACACTATTGCGTATCGTGCTAGCGTATGCCAGCGTATGAAAAATATCACTCATACGCCGGTATACGCTGACATACGCTAGGAGTACGTTAGGCATACGTGGTATACGTTTCAAGCACGGTCGCATACGGTGGCATACGCCGAGGCAGAAAATTTTTTTTAAGCATGTTCAAAAATTTTGTGCGTATTCGGACGTATGCTTTATACGATAAGCATACTCTAGGCACACGCTGAATACGCTAGAGGTACGCCAGATGTACGGTACTCATACGCTGGCATTTCAAAGGATTTTTGTGCGTATGAAAATTATTTCATTTATTTTCATACGCTTTCCATACGTTTCTCTTATACGCAATAGTGTGACAGGGCCTTAATTAAGACTGCTAAAAGAAATTCGTCATTGAGTTACAATACATTACAGTAAGGTTTAATTTTATTTAGATTTACAGAGAGTGATTTATGCTAACGAGGTTTCAACATTTTGCAAGGTGGCACCAAAGAAGGATAAGGAGGAGGAGGGGGTGTCAATGAATAGGGCAAAGTCAAAGGCGACTGGGCGAGACCAGCATAACCAGAGTGGGGGTAGTCCACGACTATCGGGTTTCTTGGTATGACAGATCTCCACCCCAAAAACTACAATATATTATTTATATAATTCCGTGGTCTTCAGACAGCTACTGGCTGCATTTTCAAATGACATGTTGTAAGGTTTGGAAGGCTGTTCAAAGGTGCTCTTGGAACATTTGTCTCCACCCATCCACTCACCCCGGCTGGTCTGCTGCCAATTCCCCTCACCCTGGCCCCGCAACTGGGCAAATGAAAACACCGCCTATCCAAACTACCCTAACGCCAGCGTGGCTCGTAGAGGGACAGACTGTAATCACAAATGCAGCGGTTGAACCAGAAATCATTGATTTGATCAGTTTGTTGAAGGAAATGGCCACGAACGCCAATACTGAAGCGAGCAAGAACCAAAAATACGATTGTTATTGAAGGAAGCTGTTGTTTCATCTGAATGCGAGCAGACACACAGTAATTCCAGATAATATCAAAACGAGTTCATGTTTTTACTATTGAGTTCACGTTTTTACTATCAGTTCAACTACTTCAACTTAAATTGTTTTTGGTGTAAAGCGTTCTAGCAGTTCTAATCTACAGTTTTAAGTTTGTGCTTTTTTTTCTTTTTTGCCTATTTTTACATATTTTTTTTCGTTTTTCTTATTCTTTTTATGTTTTTTTCCACTTTTTTATTTATGTTTACATGGTAATTATACAAATTACTGGTCGCAATTACATTCAGTAACGAAATACAACCTTTTAAGCAAAACAAACTAAAACATTACATAGATTAATATAGGTTCATCACAACATCCCATTTAAAAACATACAGTGTTAAACATCCTTAAGAAGTCCTTAAAACGTATTAAAAATCATATCCGTGAAACGTTCAGTTTATGACTAAAACAAAATGCATGACCAATATTCATCGTTACTGCCATAAAATCCTTCTCGGCTTGGAGGCAAATCTTGAAAAGTAACACCCCAACGTCTCAGCTTTCCTTTGATATCTTCATACCCTCGCAACACGTGTTCAAACTCTTTAATTTTGGTGCTACCATCTGCTACCAATGCGGCCAGTACCAATGCAGCACCAGCTCTCAAATCTGTAGCTTCAACGCGACTCCCTCTTAAATTAGCATTACCATGAACTTCATATTCTCGATTGGAAAATCTAGTGAACCTTGCGCCCATAGTTTTCAAATGTAGAACGTGGCTGAATCGATTATCATAGATGGTATCTTTGAGTCTGGAACGACCATTTGCCTGGGTCATGAAGGTCACCCATTGTGGCAACAGATCAGTGGGGAATTCTGGGAAAGGGCCTGTAGTTATGCTCACAGGTTTGATTTGGCCACGACGTTGGACTTGCAATCCGTTGTGTGTCCATTGCACATGTACACCTGCTTTTTGCAACATTTGAAGGACAGGAACCATGATTTTTTGGCCGATTTCGGGATTCATCTTTAGGAGCAATGACCCGCCGGTAATAGCTGCTCCGATTGCCCATGTACCAGCTTCAATACGATCTGAAAATTAGAATGATAAAAGTTTTAATTTAAGAGGGTAATTTACGGCATAGAAGGGCAGTGCGTTAATTAATTAATTAATTAATTAATTAATTAATTAATTAATTAATTAATTAATTAATTAATTAATTAATTAATTAATTAATTAATTAATTAATTAATTAATCAATCGCACCTGTCACTCGGTTTTACTACTATTCTATTTAATAGTTAGTTACCTGGAATTACTGTGTGCGTGCAACCATTCAGAAGGGTACCATCGCGGCCATTGATGACAATAGTATTTTGACGCTCGTTCACTTGGATACGTCCGCTCATGCCCATCGCTTTCAACATTTTAATCAAATCAATGATTTCTGGTTCAACTGCTGCATTTGTGATTACAGTCTGTCCGTCTGCGAGACACGCTGCCATGATAACAGTTTCGGTTGCTCCGACGGAAATTCGTGGGAAATGGATTCGAGCTCCGCGCAAACCTTGGTTTGCTTTTAACTCAATGTATTCATGATTCGATTCCAAGCTTGCCCCCATTCTTTGTAAAGCGTCGATGTGAAAGTTCACAGGGCGGCCGCCTGCATTGATTTGGCATCCCCCAGGGTAGTACACCTTCGCTGCCCCAAATCGTGCAAGGAGAGGGCCCAATACAAGAAACGAGCCTCGCGTTTTCGAACCGTCACTGTTCGATGGTGAAGATCTTGTTTGGCTTCTTGTTGCTTGTAAAACCCGTCTCGAACCATTCTCGTTTACTTGTACACGGTAGGATTGTAATTGCGTTTTCATTTTATCAATGTCGCTGATTTGGGGGACATTTTCTAACAAAACTTGCTTATCTGTCAGTAGACAAGCAGCCATTAACGGCAAAGTGGCATTTTTCGACCCAGATATCTGAATAGAACCAGAACAACCGTGCGCCCCAGAGATCATAATTTCGTTGCTTGTCATCGTGCTTCTAAATGGCTTCCTTATAAATTCTTTCCTTTTCTATGCTGGTGAATGCTCATGAATGCTCACGAATGCTCATGATCAGAACTAAACTAGCGCGGGCTTTTATACTAGAGGGTTTTATTTTTAGAGGCAGAAATTACTCATTCGGGAAAGTTATTTTAGGGCATTTTTGATTTTTTGCTGTTCTCATCGAAAGTTTTAGGGGTATTTTTTTGTGACTAAGGAAAATTATTTTGCTAGCATAACAAAATTTAAAATTACACACTGTCGTCATTATTCCAATTATAAATATTACGAACGTGCTATTTTTAGAGCACATTTCGGCCCACGACAAGTAGCGATTGAAGGCCGAGAATTGGGCGAAAGCTGCTCGATTTGTTGGCCCAAACCGAACAAAACGTATTAAAAACCTGCTAAAATGCCATAATAGTGTTCTATTTGTATTTTTTGTTGTGAATTGAATTGTATTCAACATTTTGGCGAATGTAAAGTTTGAAATTTATTGTTGAAATTCGACTGAATATAAATGAGGGGAAACCCCGCCCGCACGCAGCAAACCTGGGGCTTGTTTTTTAGTGCGGAAGTTAATTGTTTAAAACACGCGACATCTAGCAGCGGTTAAAAATTAAAATATATATATTTAAAAACATTTAATACATACTATAATTCGCTTTTAGAGGGAATTTTCGTAAATTCGAACTAAATTTTGGTGTAATTTAGCAATATCCAAGCTTTAATAGTCCGTTATTTCGTCTTTGAATGGGCAAAGACAAAGAAGTAGAACGTTGAATGACTGAATTGAATACCGTTAGTAAGAGCTAGGTGTCATGATGATAATTAATTAAACCAACATATAACCACTCATGCCAAAATATAAACTAGAATGTTTGGCCGACTAGCTAAAGAAATTACGTTTTGTTCCGTGTTATGTTTCATGAAGACATGAACATTGTAACATGTAGACTTTCGTTTCAAACAAATACTGTACTATTTATTCTTGAAAATATTAAGCTTTAAGTCTACTGAAAGAGGTTCATTATTAATACTTAAGGTAATAGAGTTGACTAACATATTCTTGTATTTTATAAAAGCTGAATGACAATGAATGAAAATGTTCGAATCAAAGGCATGAAATGGCCTACAATCGACATGACGTTTTGAAATGGGTGTCCAGTCATTAACACTTATCAGTAACGACACCGGAATTGGTTCAAAATCGCCAAGTAAAGTTGTGCTCATATAAAAGTTTATACAGTGCTAGTATCACAATATTTAATCTCGCAGAAAATTTTTGCAACGCTTGCAGAAATTTGTTTTGACGTAAGAATTTTTAATACCGTAGTTTTATTTGGGAAATTTGAAATGGAAAAAAACGTTAAAAAAATAAATGTTTAAGTCCTAGTTTTGAGTGAAAAAGTGCATATTTTATCAATATTCTTAATAATATAGGTTTTTAACATTCTAGCCTTCTGAAGTGATCATATGTTGAAATTGTGCATGCCGTGTCCCACACATGCAAATTATTAAACATTTGCAAATTCGGGGTTTTCCCTGCATGTAAAAAAAATATGTCATTATAGTGTTCTAGAACTTGTTTATACTGCATGTACATAAAATACGATGTATCGGAAATTTTAACCGCTTTGCTGGGACGAAATTTGAGGCGGAATGAATGCGAATGATTTTGTCAGGGTGCTAGTTTCTAGCATAGGTCTCCTATATCTATGGTTTCTAGTGATGGATTATTAAAGGAATACCGAATGGTTTTCCGTGCAGGATTGCGTGATCCATGCACGAGGGATGACGCGAGACTTTCGGAAAGCGTAAAAATACTCGAGCCGCAGGCGAGTGTATTTTTACGCTTTCCGAAAGTCGAGCAACATCCCAAGTGCATGGATCACGCTATCCTGCTTGGAAAACCATTTGGTAATTGTTTTATAAAATAACTACAGTGAAACAATGACATTTTGTGAATCCCGCGAAAATCCCGCGAAGGCATTTTAATTGATGCACGGCTATTAACCAATCAAATTGCGTGTTTCACTGTTGTTATTATATAAAGTATATTACTTGTAAGCGAAAAGTTGTTCAAGCAGTTAGAATAGTGCGATCTATGCTGGCAATGGTTCTGAGAAAAATGATATCAGGTGGGAACATGGTCACTCGTATTAGTTTTGTAAATAGTTGCGCAATATAACACACCTTCCCCCTCCCCCGTTTCAATGTTGCCCATTTGCTGGAATGTTATCAAGATAACAATAGAACACAAAACCACTTCAGATATAGTCTCACAATGTTGAACAGGCCAGATGGGTTATGTTACTGTGGGTAATCGGTCACGAATTTTGTCATTAGGAGCAAATCATATATGCCTGATATTTTCCTAATAGTTCGTCTAATGCCGTATAATTATAAGTAACACACAGATTGACAGACGGATCATTCTTCAAGACAAACCGTACGCTGAGGCAAGTTTGCGTTTACGCGGATACTACGTTCGACTGCGCAAAAAGAGCCGGGGAGTGTGTCAATGCATAGGGTAAAGTCAAGGGCGAGGCCAACATAAACTGAGTTGTGTAGCCCACGACTATTAGGTTCCTCAACATGACATGCAGACCCTCGCCCCAAAAATTTGTGATGTCTATCAATCACTCTGTTGTTTCTATAGATGGCTATCGAAGTGACATGTTGTAAGGTTTGGAAGGCTGTTGAACAGTCCGCTTCGTGAGACATTTGCCTTCTAAACCCCCACCCCCGGCTGGTCTGCTGCCTATTGCTCTTCCCCTGCCCCCGCAACTGGGCAAAATACCGGCAGTATCCAAACTATCCTAACGCCAGCGTGGCCCGTAGAGGGACGGACTGCAATCACAAATGCAGCGGTTGAACCAGAAATCATTGACTTGATCAGTTTGTTGAAGGAACGGCCACGAACGCCAATAAGGATGTGAGGAAGAACCAAAAATACCATTGTTATTGAAGGAAGCTGTTGTTTCATCTGAATGCGAGCAGACACACAGTAATTCCAGATAATATCAAAACGAGTTCATGTTTTTACTTATTTCCAAGTCTTTCAAAACTACTTCTACTTTGATTAAGTTCTAATCAACAATTATAAGTTCTTTTTTGTCTATTTTATTTTTTTTTTTGTTTTCCCCCCGCATGTTTTAATTGTTTTTTTTTTCTATTTTGTTTTTGTCTATATGGTGATTAAAAATTACTTGTTGGTCGCAATTTGATAAAATTGCTGTCAACATTCTAAAATTACTATAATTAATGAAAGTAATATAAACTTAATTAATTAACAGTACATTATCTAGATCATTACTAGATCATTACATGAATTACATGAGTTTATTACAATATAAGAAAGCATGTATAGACGATATAGAATTAGAATTAAGCAGCTTAAAACGTTTTAAGAATTCTAAGCTATTAATGAATAATGTGCAATGACTCGTTTTGGGAAAAAATCATGAAAGTTAACGTCGTTGACAATCGTGTCGGACTTAAATGCGGTTTCCACCATGAAAGCCTGGCCGAGTTTGAGGCAAATTCTGAAATTGGACACCCCAACACCGAAGCTTTTCTTTGATCTTTTCATAACCTCGAAGCACATGTTGAAACTGTCTGACCACCGTGGTTCCTTCTGCTGCCAATCCTGCCAAAATCAAGGCGACTCCAGCTCTCAAATCTGTAGCATCGACGCGATTTCCACTCAAACGTGCATTACCATGGACTCGATATCCTCCATCTGGCAATCTCGTGAATGTTGCGCCCATTCTTTCCAAATGTGGAACGTGGCTGAATCGATTATTCCAGATTGTATCTCTGAGATCCGACGGACCATTTGCCAGAGTCATGAAGGTGACCCATTGTGGTAGCAGGTCAGTGGGGAATGCAGGAAAAGGGCCTGCAGTTATGCTCACAGGTTTTATTTGGCCAAATCGTTGAACTTCAAATCCATTGAGTTTCCATTCCACATGTACACCTGCTTGTTGCAACGTTTGAATGACAGGCACCATGATGTTTCTTCCGATTCCTGGATCCATCTCCAAAAGCAACTTACCACCTGTAATGGCTGCTGCAATCGCCCATGTACCAGCTTCGATACGATCTAAAAATAATAACGATAAAATATTACTATGAGAGGGCATTTTCTATTGTTAATAACAGTTGAAAACCTTCAGAGCATGCACAGAAGAGAATGAATGACCAGGGCCGCCAGGGACTTTATCTCAATTTTTCATGCTAAATTTCGGTGCTTAGCCCAACCCCCAAAAAATCTTGTTCTTTGCGCGGAAATTTTAACACACAAAAACGACTGGGGCCCAACAAAAAATATTCAGGGGCCCCCAGCACCTCGGGGCCCGGGGCAATTTGCCCCCCCCCCTGCCCCTCCCTCTCGGCGGCCCTGTGAATGACAATCGGGAGCAACGCGCTAACCATATCTCTTACGTGTGCCTCCTAGAATTCAAATACCTAATGGTTTCTACCTAATGGTTTCTAAAGCTAAAAGTTACCTGGCATTACTGCGTGCGTGCAACCAATCAGAAGGGTACCACGGCTTCCATTGATGACAATAGTATTTTGACGCTCGTTCACTTGGATACGTCCGTTCATGCCCATCGCATTCAACATTTTAATCAAGTCAATGATTTCTGGTTCAACTGCTGCATTTGTGATTACAGTCTGTCCGTCTGCGAGACACGCTGCCATGATAACAGTTTCGGTTGCTCCGACGGAAATTTGTGGGAAATGGATTACGGCTCCGCGCAAGCCTTGCTGGCTAGCTTTCAACGAGACATACTCAGAATTCGGTTCGAGAGTTGCCCCCATGAGTTGTAATGCTTCGATATGGTAGTTTACAGGGCGGCCGCCTGCATTGATTTGGCATCCCCCAGGGTAGTACACCTTCGCTGCCCCAAATCGTGCAAGGAGAGGGCCCAAAACAAGAAACGAGCCTCGCGTTTTCGAACCGTCACTGTTCGTTGGCGAAAATCTTGTTTGGCTTCTTGTCGCTTGTAAAACCCGTCTCGAACCGTTCTCGTTTACTTGTACGCCATAGGATTGTAATTGCTTTTTCATTACGTCAATGTCACTGATTTTAGGGACATTTTTTAACTCAACTTGCTTATCTGTCAGTAGACAAGCAGCCATTACCGGCAAAGTGGCATTTTTCGCTCCAGATATCTGAATAGCACCAGAACAACGGCCCGCCCCAGAGATCATAATTTCGTTGTTCGTCATTGTGCTTCTAAGTGGCTTCCTTATAAATTCTTTCCTTTTCTATATGCTGGTAAATGCTTATGATCAGAACTAAACTAGCGCGGGCTTTTATACTAGAGGGTTTTATTTTTAGAGGCAGAAATTACTCATTCGGGAAAGTTATTTTAGGGCATTTTTGATTTTTTGCTGTTCTCATCGAAAGTTTTAGGGGTATTTTTTTGTGACTAAGGAAAATTATTTTGCCAGCATAACAAAATTTATAATTACACACTGTCGTCATTATTCTAATTATAATATTACGAACGTGCTATTTTTAGAGCACATTTCGGCCTACGACTGGTAGCGATTGAAGGCCGAGAATTGGGCGAAAGCTGTTCGATTTTTCGGCCCAAACCGGACAGAACGTATTAAAAAACTGATAAAATACGCTAATAGTGTTCTATTTATATTTTTTGTTGTGAATTGAATTACATTCAACATTTTTGGCGAATGTAAAGTTGGAAATTTATTGTAGAAATTCGACTGAATAGCTAGAAATGAGGGGAAACCCCGCCCGCATGTAGTGCACACGTTGGGGCTTGTTTAGTCCGGAAGTCAATTGTTTGAAACACTCAACAATCTGGCAGCTGCGTTTAAAAATTAAAATATATATATTTAGAAACGTTACATTACATATACTATAATTTGGTCTTACAGGAAATTTTCGTAGATTCGAACTAAATTTTGGTGAAATTTAGCAATATCCAAGCTTACCAGTTTGTGTTATTTCGTCTTTGAATGGACAAAGAAGTAGAACGTTGAATGACTGAATTGAGTATCGTTAGTGAATAGCTAGATGTCATAATCAATTAAACCGACATATAACCACTCATGCTAAAAGATAAACTAGAACGTTTGGCCGGCTAGCTAAAGAAATTACGTTTTGTTCCGTGTAGTGTTTCATAAAAATATGAACATTGTTATTGCGGTTTACTTGCACATGTAGGCTTTCGTTTCAAACAAATGCTGTATTATTTATTCTTCAAGATAAGCTTTAAGTCTACAGAAAGAGGTTCATCCTTAAAACTTAAGGTTTAATATGATCAATTTATATTTAGTCACTCTTTTAGAGTTAACCAACATATTCTTGTATTTTATAATAAAAGCTGAATGACAATGAATGAAGATGTTCGAATCAAAGGCATGGAATTGGCCGACATGACGTTTTGAAATGGGTGTCCGGTAATTAACACTTATATTAACGACACAGAGGTGGTTTAAAATCGGCAAGTGAAGTTGTGCTCATATAAAAGTTACAGTGCTAGTATCATAATATTTAATCTCGCAGGAATTTTTTTTGCAACGCTTGCAGAAATTTGTTTTGCAACGTTGCATGACGTAAGAATTTTTAATACCGTAGTTTTATTTGGAAAATGGAAAAAACGTCAAAAAAATAAATGTTTAAGTCCTAGTTTTAAGTGAAAAAGTGTATATTTTATCAATATTCTTAATAATATAGGTTTTTAACATTCTACTCCTTCTGAAGTAATCATATGTTGAAATTGTGCATGCCGTGTCCCACGCATGCAAATTATTAAACATATGCAAATTCGGGGTTTTCCCTGCATGTAGAAAAATTATGTCATTATAGTGTTCTAGAACTTGTTTATACCATAGTTCAATGGTTTATACTGCATGTACATAAAATACGATGTATCGGAAATTTTAATATAATGTTAACATATAACTCTTTAACCGCTTTTCTGGAACGAGATTTGAGGCGGAATGATTTTGTCAGGGTGCTAGTTTCTAGTGATGGATTATAGTATAATTGTAAGCGAAAAGTTGTTCAAGCAGTTAGAATAGCGCGATCTATGCTGGCAATGGTTCGGAGAAAAAATGCTATCACTATTTTTAACTTGAAGGGTGGGACACATGGACACTTGTATTAGTTTTGTAAATAAGTTGCGCAAAATAACATGTAAACCTCCCTCGGCCTCCCTCGTTTCAATGTTGCTCATTTGCTGGAGTGTTATCAACATAACAATGGAACACAAAGCCACTTCAGATATAATGTTACTTTTACTTTTTAGTCTCACAATGTCAACAGTGGGGTGGGGTGGCGGTAGGGGGAGGGGGGTTATGTTCTGTGGATAACCGGTCACGAATTTTGTCATTAGGACTAAGATCAAATCATGCCTGATATTTTCCTAATAGTTTTATAATAATAGACGGATCAAGTTTGCGTCTACGCGGATACTACGTTGTCTGCGCAAAAAGAGCGGGGAGTGTGTTAATGCATAGGGTAAAGTCAAGGGTGAGAGGCAAACATATACTGAGTTGTGAGCCGACGGCTATTAGGTTCCTCAACATGACAGACCCTCACCCCCAAATTTGTGATTTCTATCAATCATTCTGTTGTTTCTACAGATGGCTATCGAAGTGACATGTTGTGAGGTTTGGAAGGCTGTTGGACATATGACAGTCTTCGTGGGCATTTGCCTTCTATACCCCCACCACCGGCTGGTCTGCTGCCCATTCATTCCTCTTCCCTTGGGCACAGGTAACTGGGCACAATGCCGCCTATCCAAACTACCCTAACGCCAGCGTGGCCCGTAGAGGGACAGACTGTAATCACAAATACAGCGGTTGAACCAGAAATCATTGATTTGATCACTTTGTTGAAGGAAATGGCCACGAACGCTAATACTGTAGCGAGCAAGAACCAAAAATACGATTGTTATTGAAGGAAGCTGTTGTTTCATCTGAATGCGAGCAGACACACAGTAATTCCAGATAATATCAAAACGAGTTCATGTTTTTACCGTATTTTAACTATTTCTACTTTGATAAATATACTTTAAATTATCCTTAATTGGTATGTAAAGTGTTTAACCGTTCTAATCAACAGTTATAATTTTTTTAAATTTTTTATCTATTTTTCGTGCATAGTTTCTTTCCTTTTTTTCTTTATCTCATTCTTTTTATGTTTTTTTTTTTGTTTTCATATTTTTTATTTAATTACAAGTTATTTGTCGCAATTACAATGCTATACTATACAGCATTCTAAAGTTACTGGAATTTAAACTTAATTAACAATATAAACAAAACTAAATCATTACATAAATTACATGCTAATTTAGTACACTATCAACTAAAAGTATATAGAATTAAAAACAAGCTTAAAACGTCTTAAAATACACTAAGAAAATATAACTAACGTGCATGACTCGTTTTGGAAAAAAAACATGAAATTTAACGTCGTTTGCGGTCGTGTTGGACTGGACCCTCTTGTCGGACTTGACGACGGTTTCCACCATGAAAGCCTTGCCGAGTTTGAGGCAGATTCTGAAATTGCACACCCCAACACCCAAGCTTTTCTTTGATGTCTTCATACCCTCGAAGCACATGTTGAAACTGTCTGACCACTGTGGTTCCTTCTGCTGCCAATCCTGCCAAAATCAAGGCGACTCCAGCTCTCAAATCTGTAGCTTCAACGCGATTCCCTCTTAAATTAGCATTACCATCGACTTGATATTCTGTATCCGACAATTTGGTGAAACTTGCACCCATAGTTTCCAAATGTGGAACGTGGCTGAATCGATTATCATAAATGGTATCTTTGAGTCTGGAAGAACCATTTGCCTTGGTCATGAAAGTCACCCATTGTGGCAACAGATCAGTGGGGAATTTTGGGAAAGGGCCTGTAGTTATGCTCACAGGTTTGATTTGGCCAAGACGTTGGACTTGCAACCCGTTGCGTTTCCATTCCACATCTACACCTGCTTTTTTCAACATTTCAAGGGTAGGAACCATGATTCTCTGGCCGATATCAGAGTTCATCTTTAGGAGCAATGACCCACCGGTAATAGCTGCAGCGATGGCCCATGTACCAGCTTCAATACGATCTGAAAATTAGAATGATAAAAGTTTTAATTTATTTAAGAGGGTATTTTCTACGGTAATTACAATAGTAAAAATTAGATGATTATAGAAGTGTAGGGGATGTTCAGCCTACCTGGAATTACTGTGTGCGTGCAACCATTCAGAAGGGTACCACTGCGTCCATTGATGACAATCTTATTTTCATGCTCGTTCACTCCAATATTCCCGTTCATACCCATTGCATTCAACATTTTAATCAAATCAATGATTTCTGGTTCAACTGCTGCATTTGTGATTACAGTCTGTCCGTCTGCGAGACACGCTGCCATGATAACGTTTTCAGTTGTTCCGACAGACATTTTCGAATCGATTTTGGTTCCGTGCAAGCCTAGGTTAGCCTTTAACTTGATGCATTTACGATCGGATTCCAATGTTGCCCCCATTTCTCGTAATGCTTCGATATGGTAGTTAACAGGACGGCCGCCTTTACTGATTTGGCACCCCCCAGGGTGGCGCACTTTCGCTGCCTTCAATCGTGCTAGGAGAGGGCCCAAAACCAAAAAAGAGCCTCGCGTATTTGAATCGTCACTGCTTGTTGGCGAAAATTCTGTTTTGACACTTGTCGCTTGTAAAACCCGTCTCGAACCGCGCTCGATGACTTTCACGCCGTAGGATTCTAATTGTGTTTTCATTTTATCAATGTCGCTGATTTTAGGGACATTTTCTAACACAACTTGCTTATCTGTCAGTAGACAAGCGGCCATTAACGGCAAAGTGGCATTTTTTGCCCCAGATATCTGAATAGAACCAGAACAAGGGCTTGCCCCAGAGATCATAATTTCATTGCTCGTCATTGTGCTTTTAACTGGCTACTTTATAAACTTATATGACTTTTCAACGCTTGTGAATGCTCGAAACGAAATTAGGGCGGCTTTTATAGTAGAGGATTTTATTTTTAGAGGCAAAAATGACTCATTCGGAAATGTTATTTTAGGGCGTTTTTGCTGTTCTCATCGAAAGTTTTAGAAGATTTTTCGTGACTAAGGAAAATTATTTTGCTTAGTACAACGAAATTTTTCAAAATTACCCGCTGTAGCTGTGGCGTAATTATTCCAATTATAATATTACGCATGTGGCTATTTTTAGAGCACACTTCGGCTATACGACTGGTAGCGATTGAAGGCCGAAAATTGGGCGAAAGTTACTCGATTTTTCAGCCCAGACCTGTGAAATATCTGGTGAAATGCCCTAATGGTGTTATATTTGTGTTTTTTGTTGTGAATTGAATTATATTTAACACTATTTGGCGAATATAGAGTTGGAAATTTATCAATGTAGAAATTCGACTGAATACAAATGAGGTCACCTTTCAAATACAGGGGAAACCCCGCCCGCATTTATCACACGTTGAGGCTTGTTTTTGTGCGGAAGTGTAAAGCGCGACTGAAATATTATATCCTGTAATTTTCTTTTACAGTAGGTTTTCGTAGATTCAAGTTAAATTTTGGTAGAATTTAGCAATATCCAAGCTTTAATAGTTTGTTATTTCGTCCTTGAATGCTAAATTAAGCGAGGCAAAGAACCTTGAATGATTGTTCTAAATGTACTGCTTTATATTTAGATGACATGATGATAATTAATTAACACATAAAACCAATAACCACTCGTGCTAGAAGCCTAGAATATAAACTGGAATGTTTTGTTGCTAGCTTAAGAAAATTATCTTTGTTTCTGTGTAGATTTACACGAAAATATAAGCATTGTTCACTTGTAGTCTTTCGTTTCATACAAATGTTATTTATTGTTTAAGATATAAGCTTTTATACTGTTAAGTCTCCTATATAATAGAAGTTGTTTCTTCCTTAAAACGTAAAGTTCAATTCAGAAGGTGAAGAGTTTGTCACATTTGGCCACATTTGTCTTCCCTTTCAGAGTTGACCAACATGTACTTGTATTTAATAAATGTACCAAGTTTTCAGGTTAAATGGGTTAAATTTGAGCCTGTTGCCATAAACTACTAAATACTGTAATAAAATATGTGTTTGATATAGGTCTCACACATTTTGCGTTGGCGATCACTGTTTTATCAACTCAACTGAGCTTATAGTCCTTATAGGTTAACTCCGAAACAATAATTTGTTTGAAAGACAGCTGCGGTATGAATGATATTCAACTACCTGAAAAAATATAAACACCGACCGTTCATCACCGTTCGAGATGTCAGACTGATCAGTTTCGATTTGGTTCTGCTGATTCATGAAATTTTGTCTAATAATTCGGGGATTTTCAGTCTAAAAATTTGTGCTTAGAACGTGTAAAAATTTGTGCTTAGAATTTCAATTTCATAATTTCGATCGAAATCATAGCTAAAAATTTCTTGCACAGGGAATACCCCGCCCATTCAAAACAATTTGTCAAACTGCCGCAGGTGGCGAATTAATTGGTATTCTAATTTGTGACAAAATATTGACATAAACTCAAGTTTGATCACCGATATATATTCAATATTATACTGTATTTCACGCGAGTATTATGTGTTTTATGTGTACAATTAAAATAGCCATTGAAATACTTGGCTCTTTAAAAACGTAGGGCTTTTATACAATAAAAATCAAATATTTAATTGTCTGAGTATAATGCCTATAATGCTATAAACACGATTATAAACACATAATGTGATATGGACAATATACGCCGGTTAGAATGTACCTGTGAATTCTAAATAGCAAATAACTTTAAGCTTTGTTAAAATTCTTCAACCTTTATAATAGAATAATCAAGTGTAAAGATAGTAAGATACACGTTAACTGACGACAAATTATATATATAAGTATGTTTGAAATTCATGTATGTGTACAATATAAACGATTTCACTGACAAGCAAAATCTTTCGGTTAACACAATAAATAATATCAGCTCATATATCATATTCTGAAGTTTCATACAGCCTAACGAAGTTAAGGAGATTAGCCGGGCTATGATTTTATTTTCTTTACGCTCGATCCGGCTTTCCGGTTCCCTACTGTTAAATGAAATTCGCCTAACAGAATCATAACAAAGGCTTCAACTGAAAATCACATTATAACTACAGCTAGTAGCTTTAAAATAATCTTGGTTATTTTAAATTATTTTCTGAGTACAAAATTTATATATATTTATTCACTTAGAAGTTAAACTAACACTTAAAAATATATAACTCATTGTTCATATAATCTAAAATCCCATCCTCCCGCAATTATGTACAAATCTATAGGGAATTCCCATATTTCTGAAATATTACGTTATGTTTCCAACGAGAACGATGACCTTCGAAAAATTCGGGGTTTTCCGAGCCCTCGCGACAGAAACCGACAGTTCAGCAAAATGCAAATCTGAGCGAAAAACGAAATGACTGCGCAAGAATTTCAAACTAAACCGGGAAAAACCTTGACTGAAAAGTAGCCAGTTTGCAAAAATATATCACTGTAATGGGAAAATCCTTTTGCGAAATTATGAGTTTGCAAAATCTTTAGAAAAATGGATAGTATAAAAGGGACCCCAATACTAAGGCATTTAGTTTCAGGGAGAGAGCTACTAGACGGTAACTACACAATTAAATTATGTCTCTGGAAACTGCAGTATTAGAAATTCATGGAGGACAACCCCTAAATGGAGCTGTCGCTATATCTGGCGCAAAAAATGCCATTTTGCCATTAATGGCCGCTACTGTGCTAACAGATAAACCTGTCGTTTTTAGCAACGTTCCACAAATCAGCGATGTGGTTTTCATGAAAAAGTTGTTAGCCAGTCATGGTGTATCGGTAGATATTGACCAAAATCGGATCACTGCGACAAACCCACGTCCAATACCCGACGACCCAACAATAAGCGGCAAATTCCGAGCATCAGTTTTGCTGCTGGGGCCATTGCTTGCGAGGCTTGGTCATGCAAGAATATATCTCTCTGGTGGGGATGATATTGACAGCCAAGGGCGCCCGGTTGATTTTCACGTAACAAATTTGGAAAGTTTGGGGGCAACCGTGAGTCCGCCAATCAGAGCCTCCTTAGCAGAGCCTCCTTATATCGAAGCGTTTGCACCTTCTGGTAATATATTTGCCTAAAACAACTAACTTTAATTATACTGAATAGTTCTAAGCAGGCTGTTCTCTCTAGACTGTATCATAAGGGACATCCCTTATTTGGTCCAGTGTTATTGCAGAAAGAAGCTAGATTCGTGAAGAAAACTTGTAGTGTTTGATTGGCTATAGAGTCAAACTAGGAGCAGTTGGAATTTTACTCAGTGGCCCGTGTTGACTCTTGTTCGTCAGGGGAGGCCACATCAAAATTTGGCGTCCATCGTTGTAAATTTAATCCTTTACTCATTTGGCCAATTTTTAGGTAGAATTGACACATTTTGGTTTCATTTCATGCAGTTTCGGTGCCCCCTAATGGCTTTTGCGGCCCCATATGGACATGCCCCCTCCCCCTTGCCAGCACGCCACTGATCCTACTACAACAAATGCCAGTGGCAGAGGTGAAGGTTCTTACTCGACCAACTGAAAAACATTTTTAGAATTAAGCAAGTATTTTTATAATTCACAGGTCTTACAGCTCCCAGACAACCATTAGTTTTAGCAAAAGTATCTGTTGGTGCCACCCAAAACACCATCATGGCTGCTTGCGTTGCAAGTGGAACAACTACCATAAAAAATGCATCCATTGAGCCAGAAACGTTGGATTTGATTAAACTGTTGAAATCTATGGGCGCCGAAATAGAAGTTGACAAAACTCAACGCAAAATTAAAGTCACAGGCAAAGACATCGCTACTTTCAACAGACGTACCATTTCTCACACAGTAATTCCAGATAGAATCGTAGCGGGGACATATGCAATCGCCGCTGTAATCACAGGTAATGATATAAATTGGTATATTTGACTTTCAAATAGGTGGGATTATCGTACAGCATGCGGTAGTCACAGCCTGTTGATATCAGCGCCAGAAAATAATATTAATAATTCTTGTCATTATATATAGTAATTTTGTATTTGGTAGGAAATAAATAGAATTGAAATGTACATAAGCGTACGGAAGGAAAAAATTAGGGAAGGGCAAGGGGGAAAATGAAATTTGCACGACTTTGTTGCATTTTCCCTGCTAAAGTTGTAAAATTATTGGTGAGGAGGGGGGGAGGGGGGGGGCAAAAATTTTTAAAGGGCTTATAATAATGTTTATTTATTTTATCAAAGGGCTTATAAAAATGTTTGGGCACATTACTATCTCTTGCATTGACTATTATCTTACATATTTTTTGTTGTTCAATTTATTTCCCCCTAACTTGCATTTAAAATTTGCTTGTTACTACAGTTAGTTCTGGGAACAATTCGTGGCTGATACTTTCCTCACAGTTCGTCTAATGTGTATTCATGCACGTATTGGTAAAGCCGAGATCATCCGTCAAGACACCGCTGGGATATTTTACATGTTCAAAGCCAGTTTTCCACTTCAACCGTCCCGTACCGAAACGTGCTGGTGAGCATGCGTAGATTGAAAAGAAGTTAATAAGTCCACGTACTTCCGGGTGTATTTGCGTATCAAAATAAAAAGTTCGTTGCAAGTCAACTTTTTGGTGTAATACAGAAGTATTAACCAATCAACATTCACTAAATTTTGAAATTTAAAAATGTTTTTGATACGCTTCGGTACGGTACGCTTCAAGTGGAAAAACTGGCTTTACACTACGCTCACTTTTGGTACCTGTACAATTTTTATCCATGCTTGGGCTATTTACAATGGCCGAGAACGGATACATTTTGGTAGTGGTACTAATTTTATTCGTGCCGTACCAAAAATTGAGCGTAGTATAAACGGGGCCGGCTTCGTTTCTCACGATGCCTAAATTAGATGGGATGGACTGTATCCTTGACCACATTTTAACTACTTTCAGGTGGAAACATTGAACTGCAGATGGGAAATTTCCCAGATAAAACTATCCTGGACCTACAAGAAGCAGAATTCTGGCGTTTGCTTGCAGCTGGAGTGGATATCACACGCACACGAAACGGAATTCGCGTTTCACGAAAACGAAACCCCTCTACTGGTCAGCTGGTTCCGATCAAACCTGTGAGAGTTGTGACCAGACCTTATCCCGGGTTCCCTACCGATCTTCATCCTCAATGGGCTGCCCTCATGTGCTTCGCTAACGGGCAATCGTGGATAGATGAAACCATTTTTGATAAGCGGTTTAACTACGTGGAACAACTGCAAGAAATGGGTGCCGCCATCAATCGCGATCAATCCAACAGAAAGAGGGTTAACGTGGTTGGAAATGCACAGCTGACAAGATCTTTGCAGGTAATTTTCTAGTTTGTGTTCTAGTTCAACGGTGTAGGAGATTAGAACACAATCGGGGTGGAAGATGAATATTGAATACTAAAGTAGTCTGAATATGAATATTAAGAGTAGGAATCTATGAATATCCTCTTCCTTCCCCCCCCCCCCCGTCGACAAGTTTTTTTTTAGGAATTTTTAAAGTAGGAATATGGTTGGAATATTAAATATATTTAGGGGAAAATATTCCTCTTCCACTTCCGAAACATAGGCTAGTAATTCGCTTCGGTAAAAAACAATGGATTTTGGCATGATGAAGCGAGCGTCCAATGACACCACTTCCCTAATATGATTAGCTCTTCCTATCCTCTTCTCTATCATATCAATCCTCCTCTTTCCTATCTATCCTCCTCTTTCCTAGCTATCCTCTACCTATCCTCTTTCTAATCCTCATTTACTCTAATTTGATCCAGGTCTAATTTAATCTTGTTTTTCAGCCTACAGTCACTGTTGAGGCTGGTGATATTCGAGCTGGTGCAGCTCTAATACTGGCAGCTCATGCCAGAAATGGGATCACTAAAATCAAAGGCTTGCATCACGTCGAACGAGGATATGAAGATTTCGTGAATAAGTTCACATCTTGCGGTTCTCGAAATCGCATGTTCTTTGAGTGATACCTTCAGTTCATATACTTGCCCGTTTAACTTGCATGCATTACATACTTTATAAACATCCTGATAATTAATAATAGCTATAGATTTGAGACCGTTACAAGGTTGTTGTAGGAAGGTCGGATAAGACACATCCACCGGGTAATGATTTTTTAAGCCTTTTAAAATTGGCTGTCGTAAATTAAAGTTTAAATAATATTAATAAGTTCTTTGTAGTTTTGTTTGTGGAAGTAACAATAGTTTTGTTTGTGGAAACACCACGTAAATTTATTACTGCAAAGCTTTCGATCCGTAAGCCCGGATCTTCGTCAGTGCTAATAATATGTCCACATATTATTAGCACTGATGAAGATCCGGGCTTACGGATCGAAAGCTTTGCAGTAATAAATTTACGTGGTGTTTCCACAAACAACAGTATTAAATAATATTATAGTAGTTTTGTAATTCGGGCACTTTTAACTGTAAAACAGATTTTTGATATTGTCTTTGCTATTAAATGTTTGTATTCTATATAAATTGATTCATTCGGACTTCAATGGTCGCCTCTTCTTGTTGGTATGGTACTATGGTAGAGTGCGAGTTTAGTGGGAGAGCTTAGTCCAAGCTTCTGAACCCAGAGACCAACCACGGGGGTGGAAGGGGGAGATCCGGACCATCCACTTTCTTCAGGATCAATTTTATAATTCTTTCAAAACTGAGGAGAAACCTTGGTGGGGGGGGGGGTCCGTTGAGTCGGGTGGCGTAACCTCTTATGGCATAAAGTATACCAAATCTGTGGTTTCCAGATATCATAAAACGTGTCTAAATGCATTAAATATAATAGCATTTCGCAGACCCTAAAAATAGAAATATTTCCGGAGGACTATGCCCCCGAATTGCCGGACGATTAAACCCCCTACTTGTTTAGGGCCGGCTACGCTCCTGTCCTAACCCTGTCTGTACACATCCCTAACCGTTACACGGCAAATAAAGTAACTTTTTTTCTTCTTTCAATCATGTATAAGTGTCGATAAATTTAATACTGGCCACAATGTGAGGCCGAAGTAGTATTGTACAATGCAGCTGCGGTAGTTTGTCTCTGATCTACTTGAAAATATATCCCAAGATATCAACATTTTGTTGGCATCTTACTGGCGATTGAATATAGTTGAAGGGTCTTGTAGATGGAAATTATCGATTGGAAATTTATATACATTTATTAGACCTAACCAGGAACATCTGCGAAAAAATGCAACTTTATATATATTATATCTTATTGGATTCTTCTGAGCCCAATAGGCAATATGGAAAAATATTAGGTCGAGACTTCAATATTGGGCGAGACCGAAGGTCGAGCCTAATACTGAAGTCGAGACTTAATATTTTGCCATATTGGGCGAAGATGAATCCAACAAGAGTTTTATTCAGCAAGAATACTACAACGACAACATTACTACATATATCGGCGGCCAATTTGCTTAAATAACTAAACAATAAAACAAAAAGTTAATAAACCTGTTTTTACAAATATGTGTGCATAAATTAACTCATTTCCATGTGTGTATAAAGGAGATTTGACCTAATTTTAACGAAAAAATAATATTACTAACTTTTAGGCTGTTGCAAACAAATAAATTTCGCGAAGACAAGTTTTCCCGCGCTTTTATAATTTTAAACAAAACTGGTAAAAAAAAACTGTATTAATGTCCCAAATTATTTTCGTTACTCTGCCATATCGCTTGTTGTATGTTTGAAATTGACAAAACATCTGAAAAGGGTTGAAAAACCATGAAAAAAGCCACAATTCGCAACTGTCCAATAGGTTCCTGTCCAATATCGTAAAATATTGGATCGGCACGTGACCCTCTCAACGATTGGCTGATTGGTAAGTGCGCGTGAGTG